TCAAATATTTTTTTATTAAAACTCATTATCTTAACGTGATAAATTCTGTCGTAGAACTCAAAATGACTTCTACTTACCTTATTTTCTCAAATAATTTAACTGTTTATATTATTCGACAAAAAAAAACAAGCATGTACTATAAATATGCATATCACTGTTCAGTTTTGAACATTTTTTAACTTATTAATTATATATATATAATGTGTCGTACCTTATGTTACTACATAAATCTTATAACGTTTATAATTATTTTTATTATTTTCTATTTTACATATTCGAATATATATATATGTATATATATTTATACACATGATACTTGAAATTTTTGAGGTAAATTTATTTTGTAGAGGGCACTTATGGAAAAGTCTCTTAATTAAAAGGGAGTGTGTTGCGGATGGCGGTTCGCGCATAATAAATCTTTTATATTCGAATTTTTTTTATTAATATAATATTATATTAATTTTAATAATAAATAAAAATCAAGATAATAACTTTCTATGTGAAAATCTATGAAAAGTTTCCTTACTATAAGGAAAACACGTTTATGAGGAATGTTAGTACAAAAAGATACTCTTTTATTAATTTTTTAAAAAAAATAATATTTAATGTAATGTTATATTGTTTTTAATATTAAATAAAAGTCAAGACAATGAAATTTTGTATGGAAATCAATGGAAAATTCTCTCAACTATAAGAGAAATGAATTTTCGATGATTATTCGTACAAAAATTTATCATTTTATTTCGAATGTTTTTAAAAAAGAATTTTTAATGTAATATTATATCATTTCTAGTATTAAGTAAAAACCAAGGCAATGACTCTTTGTGCAGAGAATACATGAAAAAATCTTCTGATTATAAGGCAAGTGTGTTCTCGAGATTTATTTGTACAATATGATATCATTTTAATAATATTTTTCTTAAAAATATTATTATTAAATATTTTTTAAATACATGCATCTATACTTCCTAACCATGACATTCGTCATATTTATCACAATCACTTTTTATTATGGTTTAGTTTTCAAAAAAATTTAAGTCAATGTTTTTTAGTTTAAGGAATTGACGATAGTGATCTTCATTAATCTTTTAAATTAAAAGGACATAATTTTTAAATAAACCCGAATGAATCAAATTATTTTATAAATTAAACGTTTTTTTGAATTACTAAACTAAACACCTTTTAATAAATCTCACTCAAGTTAAATAAATTTGAATGTATAAAATGATCATAATTTAAATATATATTAGATTTTGTCGTATTTAGACGACGTATACTTAGGTATTAATTTTGGTGTTGTGGAGTGCTCATCCTTCCCACTCATAATCTACTATTGAATCCTTTTCAAAATGAATTATTAATTAACGCGGACTATTTTCATATTTTAAAAGATTTTTTCTCAATTTTTTTAAAAATGCATTTTTAATTATTTAACCTATCTAACCAAAAAAATCCATGACAACTTTAAATTTCTTATTTTTTTAACTTCACCCCATTTAAAACTTAAAAATTAAGTCGACTCACACCATCTCAAGGTTTAAGAACCGTTACGAAAAAATATCATCATCAAAGTTTATCTGAAATGGGAAACCTTGAATACTGAAATTTCATTATTGCTTTCGATGCTTAGGTAGCTTTTTTTTATTAAATTTTAGTGAATATAAAATAATATTTGTCCAAAGTCTTTCAATCATTTTATAATAAACGCTCATACACTTTACATACATGATAGGGGTGTTCAAAACTATCCGATCAGATTGATATGTAGACCTGAATCCTAAAAATTTGGGTAGTTTTCTAAAAAAGTTATCCGACCCGTGATTTTCCTAGAGAGTTGGTTCGAGACTAGGTCGAGAATTTTGTATAACCGAGTACCTGACCTAGTAGTTTTAATATATATTTTTTAATTTTAATTTTAAGTTATATTTTTATTTTAAGTTCCTTAATATTTTTACCTTAAAACTAAATTTAAGTCTTTAAATTAGTTCTAGGTTTGTATTATGTACTTTTAAGTTTTAAATTTTTTAAATCTAATTTTATTAATTGTCAATATGAGTTTCTAAAGGAAAAAATCACGATTGATATTAATGTTTTTAATATTTTTGAAATACTTTAATACATATATATCCAAATATTTATCATTAAAATTAATTTTAAATCACTAATTTTTGTGTATAGATCATGAACTTTTAAATTTTATGTGTTTACTATGTGATTTAAAAAAAATAAAAAAGTAAAAAAGATTAACTAATATTCGATACTTGATTGTACTGGTACTCGGATTTCACGTGTATCCGATTCTGGGTACCTAATAGTCACAGATTGAGACATGGGTCGAAAAATGTGATGCCCATAGAACCGGGTACCCGAGAAGTCCGAGTACCATATTATGAATACCCCTAATATGCAATTCTCAAATATGATACCTAAAGGAATAACAACAATCTCTTAACTACTAAGATTGCTTAGTTGATGTACTAAATACTCCCTCCGTCCCAAAAAAAAAAAGTCTCTTATTGACTTTAAAAAAGTCAAAAAAATTAAACTTTAATCTTGATTATTTTAAATAATTAAATTTTATAAAATATATATTTGAAAACTACTTGATTAAAGGTTTTAAAAATACATTTTTACATATTTTTATTGATAATAAATTTTAAATAATAATTAGTCAAAGTTTAGAACAATTGATAAAAAAAAGTTAATAATAGACATCTTTTATGAGACAGTGGGAATAGCTTTCTTTTTAATAGAAATCGCTAGTGTTATTAAAAAGTTAAAATATCCAAATTTACAATAAGAGTTAACAATTATTATCGTAAACTAAATACATAATTTGGTCATTTTCCTATAACATTGAAACTAACCACTTTATATCATATAAGAATCATAAATGGAAAAGGCTAAAAACCCAACTAAAAGACTTGAACAAAAATAGATACAAACAAATCTGATTGTACTGTAAATGAACCACAAAAGAAAGTTATTGAAAGACCATTGAGAATCGAAAATTAGAGTCAAGCATCATAGTAACTATCAACAAACACAAATCGCACATCCAAATTTAATCGAATGTCCCTAGCAGGGAAGATCAACAAGATTTCAAATAAGCGTCATTTTATCAGTCGTGGTGTCGTCAAATCAAACTTTAAAAAATACATAAAGAACGACCAAGAAAAAAAATGAAAAACGTATCCGAGAAAAAAAGAAAAGCATACCATAAATGTAAAGATAAACATACCACAAATACAATAATAAACGTGTCAGAAAGACATAATTATTTATATTAAAAAAAAAACTGACGATTGATAACCAGCATTAAAATTGGTGTCGTCGCCGGCTAAACAAAATCAACAAAGAAGAAGTTAGTCTAATCTATATAAAACGACACTAACTCAAAGCAAAAAGAAGAAGAAGAAAAGGAGTAGGAGAAAGAGAGAGACTAGGATTTTAAAAAAAAAATTATTAGGTTTTAAATGATATTTTCTTACTAAACAAATTTTTAAATGATGTAATTTCTCAATAAAACGTTGGCCAACAGTATTCGCTTGTTCTTTTAACTTCTTGACATCTCTTGCAACTTGTAAGGATTTTCACTAGTTTTTCTACTTCCCCATACATAAGTAGCAAATGGGATCCACTTGAATTCTTCACAATATTAACTTAGACTTCACTACTAACCTACCTAGGAGAGGCAATAAGACAATGAATGCATACCAAGGAATTGTAAGGCTCCTCCTTACTATAATTTATACTAGGACACCTTCTCTCTTGTGAAGTAGTTGCTCCCACCATTTATTAGGCTTTAATGCAACAGATTATAAACCGTCTAGTAATGAATTAAATCTATCAATTTCAAAATTTTCAATCATACCCACTTCTGCCCACGTTTTAGGCTTCAGAAATAGATAAAGTAAAATTTTAATTATAAAACTTATTTGAGTTAAAAAATTATGAAAATTGAATTGATTAATATTATTTTACTTTTTCCAAAAGAAACTTAAGAAGAAAAAAAATAATTTCATCTTCAAAACAATTTTTATTTGAAAAATGATGAAGAAAAGTAAAACAACTTATCTTAGTGATTAAATGAATCGTTATTCTTTAGAGATTATAATTTAAACATCAACAACTATTGAATATTCATTATAAAATAATTAAAAGTGTTTAAAAATATATTAATTTATGAACTTAATAAAAAATGATGAAGGAAAGAAACAAAGTAAAAGAGAAAATATCTCCCATCATCCCGGTGTGTGCATGCCTGCATGGCTTGGTAAGGTAAAATTACTCTTTCAACCTCCTAAGACAACCGCCCCACTAATGAGTTTCTAAGCACGTTCCCTCCACGCGAATCACAGGAGAGTATTAATAACCCCATTGAGCTCCTACTTTTGCCTCCTTAATTTTCTCTCTCTTACAGAACACAGCGGGATATTAATTGCATGTTGACGCCAACAGCGCGTCACCACCAATGTCGGAAACTTTGGCACACGTCAGAGGTTTGCCCAAGCTTTGCATTTAATGCCGACAATTTATTGCTCCTCCAAGTAATTCCGTGTCCCATCTTCTTCCACACCAAACTCCTTCCCTCCGTACTACAAGGTTACGCGCCGTCTCACGCGCCACTTGACCTCACTTTGAGGTCCTGACTTTCGGCAACGAGAAAAAAATAGAAAGGGTCCCATCCAAATCCACGAAATTAATTACAACGTAAGTTTCAGTGCGGAGAGAAAGCGCGTGAACTTGGATTCCATTAATTTGTCCGCTCTGCAAACTGTACCCAACAGTGGACAAACCTCAGGCCTGCTATTTCACTGTACCCACTCTTCTCTTAAAAACCCGCCCCATGTATTTTACAGTTCTGTAAAAATCAATCAGATGAGAGGTTAAAGATTATTATTATATTTTTTTGGAACGGGAGAGTAATCAAGAAGGATCCTTTGTTAAAAAAAAAAATCAGGTTCAAGGGGGAAAATATTACGGTCACATTTATTTGTTCCTATTATCTTCTTTGTCTTCTATAGGGAAGAAAAGGTTTATTTTTTGTTTTGTTAAATCTCTTTCTGGGGGTAAATTTTTTTTTTCTTTGGTGGGAGAAATGGAGTTTGAGGATCAAGAGGAGCAAGAAGAAGAGATGGGTTTTGCACCGAGTTATGACTCGCTTGGAAACTCATCTCCAGCCAAAATGTCGGGTGTTGAACCGGGTTCAATAACTCCAGCGGCTCAGCTGCAGAGGAAGCCTAGGTATAGAGAGTGTTTGAAGAACCACGCGGTGGGAATCGGCGGTTACGCCGTCGACGGTTGCTGTGAGTTCATGCCGGCTGGAACTGAAGGTACCCTCGACGCTCTCAAATGCGCAGCTTGTAACTGCCACCGTAACTTCCACCGAAAGGAAACGGAACTCGGCTCCCCACACTCCGTTCCCATGACGGATCTCTACTTCCACCATCACCACCACCACCAACCACCGCAATTCACGCCTTACTTTAGACCTCCAACCGGGTACCTCCACGTGGCGGGACAGCAAAGGCCGTTGGCTCTACCTTCGATATCAGGAGGCGGCGGAGGAAACAGCCGGGAAGATCAAGAGGATGTTTCGAATCAGGCGAGTTCAAGGAAGAGGTTTAGGACAAAGTTCACGCCGGAACAGAAGGAGAAGATGGCGGCGTTGGCTGAGAGGCTAGGGTGGCGGATTCAGAAACACGATGAAGCCATAGTTCAACAGTTCTGCAATGAAACTGGGATCAAAAGGCACGTCTTCAAAGTATGGATGCATAACAACAAGAACACTCTAGGTAAGAAACCCTAGAAAACAGCTTCTTCAAGTCAAGGCAAAACTAAATTGAAAAAAGAAGAAGTTAGATTTCTCAAGGAGGGCTAACATTTGGTACTTTTTTAGTAATTATTAATCATATTTACTTAATGTTAATTCTAATCCTAATACATGTTTGAATGTGAAAATGGGTTTAGATATTGGAGCATTGAGGCTAAGTGGAGAGACATGCAATGCAAATGAAAGAGGCCTGAACATGGAAGAGCTTTAACTGGTGTTTTTTGAGCTTTAACAGGCAAGGCCGCTAGGGAGGGGACTAATCAAGATTATCCTTGTATCAAGTATTAAACATTTGCTAAAAACCTAATTAGTTAACCTTTTGTACGTGAATTTATCTGCATGTAAGAGTTAATGGTAGATATTTAGCTTCTTCTAACCCAACCTTTTTGTTTAAGCAAATCTTCAGCTGCCTTGATATATGTGCTTTGGCATGAGAATGAATGCACTTGTTTAGTTTTTACAACCATTGTTGGTCAGGTTCTGTTTGGTTTAGTGGTTGAGTTGGGATTATTTGCTGGGTGAGCTGTTATGTCAGAATTCAAACCACATGACAGGTAAAAGAGGGATATGATTCCTTTTAAAAGGTAAGATTTTAAGACGAGAGGTGTGCTTGATTTTTTTGACCATTTAGCTGCTGCAAATCCTCTAGTGTCCAAATCTTTACCAACAAGATATGCAGAACACTTTGCTTGATTCGGGAATTTTAACCACAGTATCGGTTAAAGCTGCATATGCTTGTATGTATGGGAACTGCATAACTGTGTGGTCCAGTCCATTGTCTTTGGTCAAAAGATTAATTGCATCCGACTGTGATTCATCATCTTCTTCCTACTTAATATGTTGCATTGTCTTTACTCTTGATTTTGGATACTTGATTCAAAGCTTTGGGTTCACATCAGTTTCTAGAGTTCAAAACCAAGTTAAAAACTGCATTTCTTTAATGACGGGGAGTGATTAGTATTTATTCAAAATTTATTAATTAGTCTTTTGATAATGTATGTACCATGCAGACCTAATTGTTCGAAATTAGATCATATATATATATATATTCTTTTTTCTACTTAGACTGCATAATAAGTCCCCAAAAAACTATATTATTTGATGTGTACATTTTTTCCATGTACTCATGTTCAAGTTGAATACACGCTTTGTGTGATCCATCTAAAAACAGCAAATTACCCAGTTATTTAGGGTTTTCATTTTTTTATTTAATATAAAAGGGTTTCTTTTTATGATTACTGGACGGATTATGTTGAAATCCTAAACAGTTTGATTTCTCATCATCTTTGGTAAAATACGTTAGTAGGGTACTTATCATTTTAAATGTTATATATACCACCTCAAGGGATAACTTATCATTTTCTCTTAAAAAAAATTAAAAAAAAAATTCAAGCGTTTGGATCAATTGATGTGAGTGTTTCAGTTTCATTAAATTCTTGAGTTTAAGATTTTGAGATCGCAAAATTATTAAGTGTTTTGTCGTTTATACAGTTTACTATTTTTAAACTATTAAAAATAAATAGGGTATGTACGTAATTCACATAAAAGTAAATAAATTGCAAACAAATGTTGGGTAGAACACAAGATATATTACATTGTTTAAAATAATCTATCACTTCGAAAGATTTTTAATTATTTGACAATAAATGTTCATATACTCTTGTAGACGTCGTATTCGAATTTAAAAACTTAAAGAATAATAATCATTTTTTTAACTATTGAGATTGTTTAGTTTGGGCAAGATATATTATATATTTAATAGTAAAATGTATCCTATTTTTAATAAGAGGTCGTAGGTTTCAAATTTAGATACGATATTACTAGAATGTATAGTTCTTAAAACTTGAAAATATATATCGTGACACGGATATGAATATAAAAAATAAATGTAGCTAGGGTTTCTCTTATTAAGCAAAATAATGAGAGAGTGGAAAATGAAAATGTAGGAGGAAGTGGGTGCGAAGTATGAGACGGATTGGGGTGGGTTTGGGTCCTATATGACTCCAAATAATACTGCACAACAAGCCAGTGTAACCCAAGGGGGGGGGTCCTCCCTAGATTCTTTTGGATCGTTTCCTTTTCTAAAGCAAACAACCAAAAACAAAAGAGAATCCCCGAGGAAGATAAAGCTAACAAAGTTAGGCTCATTTTTACACCTTATGGACATAACTTTTGCTTTTATAATGTTGTTTTGAGGCGTTGATATGAACAATTGGACATGGACTAGACTATGACGTTGCATTCCCCTACCATATTCCCCTCTCTCTCTTTCCATCTGGTCTCCCAAAAAACCTTTGATTTGGGATGCCACACCCCTCCTAGTGTGGACTCTACCAACTCAATATTCTCTAAATCTTTGTACGGTAATATATATAATCTAATTTATTGAGCGATCACATAAATGAAAAGAAATATTATTTGCCTAGAGATTTCTAGTTATAGCAATTACATTTAAGATATACAATCTTTTCAATCATACACGTCTCTGTATTCAACATTTACACTGAGTACATATAATTTTTAAGAAAACAAACATTTGTACGGTGATCCTTGGAAAACTATACATATCCCATTTATTGGCAGTATTAGATATAGCAGACTCACATGCAGTATATGAACAAATAAACAAACTCAAACCAAATTCCTTTTACCACTTCCATCCCAGCTCAAGAAGCTTGTTATTTACACCCATGTTTCCTTTTCTCCTTGTGTTTTCAAGTTTAGGATCATTGTTGGTGTGTAGCTTAGCTTGGTATGATCTTTCAGTTTTCCTGTTAAGAATTGCAGGGTCATGATCAGCCCATCCTGTTCTCAGACTATTAGCCCAATCAAACTTCTTAGCATTAGATCTAGACCCTTTTGATCTTGAACTCATGGTCCGGCGTCTAACAGGCTGACCCTTTTGATCTTTCTTACTCTCTTTAATCTCAATTCTGGTTCCAACCTCCATTTTTACACTTATATTCACCTCAGAAAGTGTTTTGTCCCTTTTGTGCTGATAAAGGCGGTGCAATCTAAATGCCAGATGGTATATTCCTTCTTTAATCTCTTCTTCCAGCTCTCGTTCTATTTCACTCTCCAGCTCTCCTCGAATCCTCCACTCCTCTTCACACATGGCCGCCCCTTGCTTTTTCTGCTTCTGAAAATCAACCTGCAGTACACAACATAATCAACTTATATATTAAAAACAAAACAAGAAAAGCCAATTACTCACCCTGGAATCATCAGCAATCTGCTTCTGGTCCATCCTCGAGATAATGTTCTCTCTCTCTTTCTCTCTCTCTTTGTGGTCTAGTACCAGCCCTGACGTTTTAAATCCGAGTCCAAAGATCGAGACTTGATGGAGGAATAGGACCGGTGTTATAGTTGGAGCTTGGAACGAAGCTGTACTTTGCATGGGATGTTTTTAGAAATGACAGTTAGGGGAGTTGGTTTAATTGGGTGATTGGAATTTAGGGGTCAAATACGTCTGTGAAATGGAGAGAGGATTATGAAGGGTATGATGTTAGTATAGTAGATTAAGCAAGTGCTTTACGTGGAAGGGAGCAATGGGGATGTTTTTGGTTGCCCTTAAAGCATAATCAATATAGGGTACAATACCCACATGCTTGATGTTGTCTTCTTGGATGGTTACCTTTCGCTAAGGTGCCACTTCCAACGACATCAGATCAGCATTGGTTCAAACCCAAACCTCGAAAACTAGGCTTTTTTTTCCCCAATACCCCTGGCGGGTAAATTGTTTTGGGTAAGAAGGCTACCCGCTTTCTATTTTGGGAATACAACAAATGCTATAGTGTAGTTGGAACTCGCCATCTCAAAGTGTGAGTTTCCTTGTATATTATTTTTAAATAGTCCCGAGAAGTGGATTCTACATGGATCATTATTTTAATATCGTTAATATGATTCGTCACCTCGAGATGATGAATTTATTAAAAATTATTTTTTAAATACAAAAAAGAGAAAAAAAAGAGGAACTCGTCACCTCTTCAAATTAAAAAAAAATAGTTGTTTTGTAGCAGTTGGTCAACGACATATGCAACGGTTACTTGGAACTCCTTACCTCGAGGTGACAAGTTCGGCCGAATTTTTGAACCAACTAATCGTTTATAGTTGTTTAGGCTAAAGCTATAAATAGGGGTTTGGGGTTTTAGTTTTCATTAAACCCTAATTCCAAAAAATACAAAAAATCATATGTTGTGTGAAAATCCCAAAAAAATGGTTTCCCTATAAGAAATGTTGCGTATGGATAACTCCATATTTCGTCGATCGAACTTCAATCCAAAGAAGAACAGAGTATTCGTAAGCGCAGGATAACATACGAAGAGTAGCATTAATGGATGTTGATATATCTACAACAATCCAATCTATTTGCATCCATATTTGTACGTGGCTTCAAGCTATACCCGGTGTTGATTGAGTTTCTGATCGAACGTTAGCGGCCCGAGACGCACACAGTCTATTTCTTGAGTGGTGAAGTGACGATTACTTTGAAAGACGTCGCTTACCATCTCAGTGTTCCTGTGAATGAAGCCCCGTGGCGAGACAAAACAATTATGAACCCACGATGTTGATATATCAAGTTTTGGGGAAAATGCCATCATCCGATGTCATAAAGGGCTACTGGTACGAATGACGTGGTTAGAGCCCGAATTACAAGTGATTAACGACTCTACCGAGGACGAGTTATTTTTGCGCCCTAAGCATATCTTCTCCAAATAATATAGGGGTATTATTACAGGATAAATTCGGTAATTTTGCGCACACTCAGTATCTGCGAATTTTGAAAGACTTCACTGAGTGTCGCAATACTAGTTGGGGATCGTTGATTTTAGCCTTTCTATACCGGGAGCTTTGAAAGGCTGCAATTGTCCAGCTGAGTCAAAAAGCCAATGTAGCAGGATGTCTGATATTGCTACAGTTCTGGGCTTAATATCAATTTTCATTTTTTACGCCAATTACATCAGCCTCGATTGAGTTTCCTCGGGCTGCAAGATAGTTTTTTTAACTTTATTTTTTTTTGAATTTGATTAATTTAATTTTTTTATAATATTTTTTAATTTTAATTATTTTAGATATAGTCATAAAATAATCGAGACGAAGTTGTCGGGTGTCACCGCGTAAGATATACGGATGAGGATTGACATCGTCGGTCGATATGCGAAATACATTTGTTGTTTTATTTTTTTGTTGAAATTTTTTATCTTCATATATATTAACTTTGATATTTAATATTTACAGTTTTCTTGCATTTTGAGAGGTTATCTTCATATACATTTGATATTTAATATTTAATATTTACATGTATATTGACGACGAGATCTACCAGTTATTGCCACAGTGATTTTTTTGAGAGGTTCGATTTATGATGTACTACGA